CGTCTTGAGATGATTTCTCGATTTGAAGACAAGATGTATGGTTCCAGTCAGCACCTAGTACAGTATCTAACATCTACAACTTCTCACCATGTGGATTAAAGTTTCCAGGCCTAATGCTTTGTACTTACATGACCTTGAAAGTGTGTTATCAAGCATTTGGATTCCAATTAGTCCATTCACATAATATAGGAGTTACTTTTCCTGCCTACTGTACAATTAATAAAAAATAACAATAACCATGAAAGTGATTTGTGAATTGTAAAGTTTCATACAACTAGAACCAAATATTAACAACTGTAATAATGGAAGGAGAACTGTCCTTTACCAGGCTGAACAAATTCCCATAAAATGAGGTCACCAGTAAGTAACCTTTAAAAATGGTAGAGCAATGGGAATTTCTGCCAATGCAATTCTCTTCCTATACATGCAGGCCAGTAACTCCTGTCCTTCAACAGACCAACATCCTTGTAAACATACTCACTATTAAAGATAGTGTTCTGTCTGTACCCACATATGAACCTCTCATGATGAGTATTCTCTCTCCCTCCCTCCACCCCCCATTGTAATTTGAACATTGTTCAAATATTCATTTGAGGGGCTGGAGAGATGGCTCAGCAGCTCTTCCAGAGGCCCAGGGTTCAATTCTCAGAATCAAGCTCACAACAGTCTGTTAACTCCAGCCCCAGGGAATTCTTTATCTGGCCCCTGTGTGTGCATGGTAAATAGACACACATGCAGGTAAAACATCCACACACATAAAATTAAATAGTTTTTAATCCATTGGAACCATCTCAAAGAATTTTGAAGTAGCCAGTAGGGGTTTACTCAACCTAGAACTGATCATCTTTTTAAAACCCTGGTCACCTTCCACCAATGACTCACCCCACTCCCTGACATACACCTATGGATATGCCTTGCACACATAATCCTGTAGTAAATGTGCCTTCCCCCAGTAGACCACAAGACTATAGCCTAGAGAAAAACTTTAATGTGGGAATTGAGGGAAAAAACAAACAAACCTAGTAATTTCATTTTTATTTACACACAATTTTAAAGATACTCCAGCAATTCTTTGTTCCCCTAGAAACACCAGTGCTCAAAAGGCTCCCAGGAATGAGATCCTGAAAGATCATGGTTCCTGCCCCCCAGCCCTGCTGCCTACTGTGGCTTCTCAACATCAGAACTTATTAATTACAAATGATGTGGCTTGTCTGATCCACATCTCATCTGACTCCCTGCTTGGTCCCTTGGGATTCTATTCCATAGTCAGAGGAATATCTATTTCAGAAAATAAGATTTTTAGATATGTAACTTGGCATTTTCTTCTGGAAGTCCCAACCTATTACTTCTAAAGGATACACTAAATAACTCCTGATCCTCACTGACAGTCACTCTCTTCAGAGATTTGTAGATTGTTACCATGGCTTTCCCTTCATCGCCATTTAGCCCAGCCATATATATTTAATTCTTTTCATCTTTCATCATAAATCAGTCCCTTCAGCTCTTAAATCAGCTCTCTGCTCTTCTCTGGACTGGTTCCAATTCTCCCAATTCACCTCAAATAACTGATATCCCTTCTGGGAGCTCCAATTTTCTTTGCATCTTCCTTTACTCTCTCTCTCTCTCTCTCTCTCTCTCTCTCTCTCTCTCTGCCCCTTTCAGAAGTTAAATGAGAAGGGATGGGCAATATGTGAGGTCAAGGGTCAGGTGTGCTGCATTGCATCCATCTTCTCTAAATTGCCCACATTTCTCTGTGGTACCTATAATGTCTCGAGCTGTACATCTTCTTTCCTGAAGTGGGTATGGGAACAGTCTAGGAAACAGACTCTTGTATCACACAGTACTCTCTAGAATCTGGTTGTGAGATTACAGAAGTGTATCTCAAAGCACCTACAAGTCAGGATATGAGCCAGAGCTGTGGGTAATGTGCTAGCATCCAGGCTGACTTCTTTGGGAGCTTCGGGCTGTTCTGGATAGTACATCACCATTCACAGAATCTCAGTGACTGCCTCTCTGAATGGGTTCTCCCAGGAACTGCTTCAGGCTTTGAAGCATTGATCCCATTTATGAATTCACAGTAATCCACAAAGAAAAACCGAAAACATGCCATTCATTACAAAGACTCTCAAAAAATCCTTTTGTCCTTTCAGACAGCCCCAGACACAAGCAATAGAATGATTTAACTTTGTTCTTACTGGGTTTTTTTTTCCATTTTATCACCTCCCTAGACAAGGTCCTGTTCAAGTTTAGGAAACCATCTTCTGTCTATGACAAATGGATTCCTGAAGAACACTGACTACAAGGGGTGGCAGAACAACTCCCCCCCAAACACAGATCCAACAGCACCATTGCTCCCCTCTAGGCAGGACCACAGGCTCTTTGGTCAGGAAGAAAGAAACTGAGTTTGTCCATTTTCTTTGTGCTAAATTGAAGATCCTATGTCACAAAAGAGCAAATGTCTCATTCTATAAATAAGAGCCAATAGAAAAAGAGTAAATTCATCCATCTCATCCAACATGTGAAGTAGAAAAACCAACCCCAGTGGCAGACTGTAAGCCAGAATTTCCATACAAAATGATGAATGGAGCCACAATGATGTGTGCTGCCCCCAACACAGAATGCTGTGTGTTGCAACAGGATAGCACTTTCCACTCCATGGAAAGGTCTGCAGTGGAGCCTGCATCTGGGGGAAGGCAGTGAAGTGAGACAAGAGGCTAGTCCTGTGTGGCTAGCTGCCTAACATATGTTCTCAGAGACAAGAGAGGCCATCCTGTTCAAGTGTGAGCACAAGGCCTGAAGTGCTTTTGAATAAGCTGTCTGTCTCTCTGGAGGTCACAGGGAGCTCATCCAGTTACACTTAGTGTCTTATTTGATCCCATCAATAACCATTTGATCCCAATCTTGCCTAAAATGCTTGGCCAAAATTTCTAGCCTTTTAATGGCAGACTCCTGGCTCTTTCTGAAGCCAGCATTTCTATATGTGTCAAAGGATACATAAGGGTTGGCCCAGCTGCCAAATGGACTGCACTCCTGGGACAGAGCTTGGATGTTCACTGCTTTCCTGCAGCCAGTAGCAGAACAGCTATTGAGAGACACCCCTTTCTACATGAAACTTCCCCTAAGCATGGTTTGATTTCACATGGGGCTCAACTACAGCAGTATGTTCTTCAAATGCATTATGTGAGACATCCACTGATAGTTTCTTTGCAGCCTGTCTATAGTTGGCAGGTTCAGGGCTGGAAAATAACCCCTTTGCCAGCCATCAACATGTGATAACAGTTGATACAGATGGTTGGGGCTTATGGTCATATCACAAGAAGTGATGCAGAAGCTCCAGCAATGCTCAAAGACATGAAAGTGAATGAAAATTTGTCTTTCCAGAGAGTCATTTGTACATTCATTACAGAAGCATCGGACACTAAAAGAGAATGTTGCATATATAAACCACAGAAGCCACAATGCCATTACAGGCCAGATGTTCTTTACAAAAGTCTCCTTAGTGGGACAACAGTTTCATTCTCTCATTTCACTGAAGGCACTGCCAAGCTCATCAGACCCTGCCTTTCACTAGGCACAATATAAACCCCAGCACTGATCATAAAGGGTTGTTTTAAGTGTTACCGATGTCACCAATGCCAGTGCTGAGATACAGACCCACACTCTGATTTCCTTGAGGACCGCATGCCAGTAGTTTCTATGCAATGACAGGGACCCTCAGCTTCTTGGTAGCTCTGCTACGAGAGAGCACTGAGTGTAGTGGAAGTGGTGTGTGTGTGTGTGCAAGCATGGGAGAAATTGTACCTCCACAATGGGCGCCATTCAATGCTTTCCATCCAATTAATACTAAATATTAGTAACCAGTGGAGCATAAGAACTTCATTTATTTCTGATGATGAGAATGATAGAAAAGAAGCTAGTTTTGCTCAATGGAATCAGTGTGGGCTTCTTTAAAAAAAAACACAATTTCTCTTTCTGTGACTTTTCTCATCATTTACATTGAATATTTCATTCATTCACAAGTCCTTCCCCCATGGTCCTATGAGAAAAACATTCATTCAAAACCACCTGGTTTGCCATTCAAAAGACACTAGTGAAAGAGTTAGAAGTGTGTGCTTGCACACACAGCCTTAACTTGATGAATGTGGGAGTAAACAAAACAGAAACCTCATTCCAGGAGCCTCCAGCAGTGAAATCAGCCCGCCAGAGACTGTCATCTAGAGCAGCTGCTACATACATGCAGGATAAGACTCCCAGGGAAAACAAAGGGGGTGGGGGAGAAAAGCAATAGACAATTATTGCTTCTCTCCCAAATCAAGGCAACTTCAACCATTTTTATTCCTTTCTCCACAAATCTCCTGCCTCTTGTTCCTTAGTTCCCCTGGGATTTTGCCAGGACATGTGAGAAGAGTGACAGGCTGATAGTGCAAAACAGACGGGGGTTGGGGGATTCTGGTATGGCAGAATGAATAATTAAGGAGGAGGGAACCTCTGGGCTAGCCAGTACTGGGGTGGAGGGCCAGGGTTGGGAGGCTGGTTGAGACTCAAGATAAAGAGGAATTCTATATTCTCTGGGAAACTCTACCCACATTCCCCAAATTGGTGGTGGCCTAAAAGAGGAACAAGAGTTCAAAAGAGAGGGCAACAGTTTGAGGCCTTGTTAGAACTTGGAATTTAGGAGTTATGGGAGCATTTCAACCATTCTCAGAGACAAGGAAGGAGGACATCCAATTACGATACAATTGGGTCATGTCTAAGTCGGTGGGAGGCATTCTATCAACACTGAAACTTTTCTCCCAACTTGATTGCTAAAGAAGAAAAACCGATATATTGGGAAGTGATTATGCTCAAGCTCATAGAAAAGAAAAAAAAAAAAAAAAGCCACGGGTCTAATTTCAAGAATGATGAAAAAAGTCTAAGAAGGGTATGGGTTAGTTAATAGTGGCTCCAAGTTGGTGTAACTAAAATGCAAATCCCAACACACTCTGGTGGGAGCTGCTCACCGGTACCAAAGATCTGGAAGAGAAGGCGGGGCTGGGACGCTCGGATCGCAGTGGATAGCCTTCCCTCCCTGCCCACTTCCGATGCCTTCTTCTCAGGCATCAGGCGGATCCTCAGCCGCCCTTCGCCGTGGTGAATCCACCAACTGAACAGCTCGCTGAGGTTGAACTGGAGTATTCCCACAGCCGTTGCCTCCTCTGGGGGTCCAATGCAGCCTTCAAGGATCGCCTCTTCACCCAGCTCCAGCACTAGCTGTTTGGCACGCCTGAGCTTGCGCACAGAGCCTCCCTTCAGCACCCTGGACAGCGTAGAACCCACCTCGGGACTGGGCGAACTGGCTGCGTCTGCCCAGGAGACCCCAGGCGGCGGCCCCAGAAGCCTGAGCAGAGGAGCGCAGTCCAGAGCCAGTGATCCCCGTGCCTCCAGCCCACTAGCCCCGGGCTCCGAGGGGGACGGCGGCTGTGGCAGCAGCAGGTCTCGGGCATAGACGCGGAAGAGAGAGGGAACCACGAAGTCCACCGCCAGACTCTTCCTCTGCAGACGCGAGTAACTGAGTGGCTCCCGGGGCTGCAGAGGCGGCCCTGCGGCCAGGAAACCCGAGCGCTGATCCGTTGCAGCTCCGGAGTCCGAGGCTGCTGCCAAAAGCAGCAGCGACAACAGCCACAGGAGTCCAAGGGCTCCCATCCCGCTGGAAGGCTAGAGTTTATACTAGTGTCCCTTCCCTCGCTGGCCCAGCCTAGCCCTTCACTCTCTCCACCACAGGAAGGGGTTCCAAACAGTCCTTGATCCTGAACAGCCCCTTTCTCTTGATCTCAGGGATTGTGAGTGGGCTCAATTCTTCTGCTTTCCCCCAAGTAAGCAAGTAGGCAAGAAGCGTTCTTAGCAAAACCGATCTGGAAGTCAGGGACGAGTCCGGAGACCGTGAGACACGCTGGAGTCAACAGCTAGACCCTGAGCCTCTCGCAGTCTGCTAGGAGTGCTGTGCGCCTGATTGTAGCAGCCTTCGCTCTAGGACCAGAGAAACTATCACTGAAGGGAGGTGGCAATTAGGTACCGTTCTAGGAGATCTCAGTGACCAAATCTCTCCTCGCAGCCTCCAATGTACCGCAACTTTCCAGGCTGAGAACCTTGGCTCCGGGCTGGTCACTGTCTTGCCCACGTCCTCCGCTCCTGTCACTTCCTCTGATCTCCTTCCCAGGTCTAGGCAAGGACCACCGGAGGGGGCTGCTTTCTAGCGCCCTCTCAAGTGACCTCCGCTGCAGGAAGTCTTTGGATCACCCTGCCCGCTGAACTTCTGGGCGTGAACGCAAGCTCTGCGTTGCGGAGAAGAGGCTCCTACTGCCTCCGCGCAAGTTTGCGGCGTCCTTGCTGTCACCAACGTTTTTGGCTCCTCGGAGTTCACTCCCAGGCACCAGAGCAGACCCGGCCGCAGCCACGGAGTAAAAGCATTTCAGGCAGGGGAGTCCGCAATCTAGCCCCCTCCTCACCTACCAGCAGCGCCCGCGGTTTTGTTGACTGGCCAGGGGGCGGCCGGAAGGCGTTTCGCTGCCCGGAGACCCCCTGGGCAGAAGCAGCGGGAGGTGCCAGCTGCCACTGCCGCCGCCGCCCCCAAAGCCGCTGGATTGCATCTGCCTGGGCGCCCGCCACTTGCAGCTGGCGGAGCCGCGAGCGCGCGCCGAGAGGGGGCGGGGCCTCAGTGGAGGCGGGACTCCTGAGCGAAATCAGCGCAGCTGCCCAGCCCACGCATGCCAGACCCGCCCCCTCCCTTGCCTGCCAACCAATGGTGCTGCGAGGTCCGCTCCTATGCAAATCTGCAGAGGCCTCGGTATTCATTGAGAAAAGCACCAAGCCCGCCCCGCCTCCCGCTGTTGCTTCTTATTCCTTCCTCCGGATCGTCTGCCCTATTTCTCCGCTGTGCGAACAAGAGAGTATTTTGGATAAATGGGAAAACTGGAAATGATCTTTGCAACCAAGCATTCTCTCTAATTATGCATTTAACAGATTAAATATGTCCGACTTCAGAAGAGCAGGTTCCGAAATAAAACTGGAGGCAAAAGAAAACCAGGAGGGGTAGAGTCACCCTGCAAGATCCAAGAACAGCTTGTCTTGGGGCCTTGAAAGGGAATCTTGTCCCTCCTACACTTCCGTTATTTGAAAGCATTCCTAGGAGTCTAGCACGTCTGAACCGCGGAGCTGTTCTTCGGCCACATTAAATGCCATTCAGACACACTTCGTTTTCTCAGAATGGTGTCTGAACAGGTTTTCAAGGTAAATTTGCGGTGCTGGAGATGGAACCTAGAGTTTTCTGCATGACAGGCAAATGCTCTACTGCTGAGCTACCATCCCAGCCTGAGACTCTTTGTTTATTATTTATTATTTTGGCTTCTTGAAATAAGAGCTTGTTCTGCAGACCAGACTGGACTTGAACTCACTACGTTGCCTAGACTGACCGGGAACTCCTGTCTCAGCCTCCCAAGTGCTGAGATTACAAGCATAAGCCACCACACCTAAGACAGATATTTTTAATTTCAATTCTGGATCATAGGGCGACAAGAGACTTCCAAGTCCATCCTTATGTCCTCTTGACTGCTACTCTGTCATACCCTTCCATGAATAGCAGATCCGAGGATGTGGGTGTGACTCAGTGAAAGAAGGAAGTGTGTGTGCCACAGTTGCTCACAGACTCAAGGCCTTTTGTTTACTCACTTGAAGTGCTTGGGTTCTACCTCTAGCCTCCTTTCCTTCCAGACAATGACTGTATTTCAAGAGAAGGTTCACCAGATGCCCTGATAAAACTAACCTTTAGTTCACACAGATTTCTCAGTCCCTTCTCTCCAAGGTTGACTGTCATACCTTAGGCTAGCCTTCCCAGTATTTGAGTAAATTGTTCAGTAGACTCTCCCTCACTCAGCTCTGAGAGACACAATATCTTGCTCACTGACCCACAGGAGACAGGGGCTAAGTGGAGCCTCTGCTCTTCCAGGGGCCAAGGTCTTTTCCAGCACTATGCTATCATGTTGGCCAGTGAAAACCTAAAGAAAAAACAAAACAAAAACCACTACTACTTCTCAGTGACTTCTGGCTTTGAAATTCTTATCTGTGGCTGACTTAATTGTTTAAGGGATAAACTTATTTGACACAAGGAGGAGAGAGAATGTTCCTATCTTGGGGATGGAGAAAGGGAAGGAGGAAAAGGAGAGAAAGGAAGCCATATGGAGTTAAATATTTTCCTAGTATGTTTGAATTCAGATCAATTTTTCTTGTGTGCACACCCTCAAAAAATATTTCTATCTGAAACATGAAAAGGATTAAAACACTAACCCCTTCACACCCCATTCTGCCTCTTTCCTGTCTATATAACTCTTGATCAAAGGCAAATTGACTCCCTTAATTTGCCAATGACTGTGACCAGGCCTCTGAAATCAGTGACCACTAGAGGGCTGCAGAGACTTGAAACTCAACCTGGATGAGCCATCCAGGTTTACTGAACTCCCTGACACTGTCTCTAAACATAACATTGCTTTTGTATCTCGTGGACACTAGGGTCTTAATTAACTCTTAGCCTTATTAAATCCTCTCACTTATCTCAAGGAGAGACAAGTGCCTTTCCCTGTAGGTTAAATTACACTAACTTAAAAATGTTCCCTATTTGCTAGGTAATTTTTTAAATGAGTAGGGAAAGGCTATTGATTATCAGGCACCAAGCATCTGAATCTACAGATGTGTATGCATGTGCCTGTGTGTCTCACATTAAACCAGTAGCCTTTTGGGGGGAGATACATGTTATTACTATTACTTCCATTGCAGGTTCAGAGAGGCAAAATAAATTGTTGAAGGTCAAACAGCAAGTAACAGAATTTAAACTAGTGATTCTTTTCCTCAAAAAAAAAAAAATCACACATCCCATTAAGACAAATTAGGCCTTCTTATCAGGACTACAATTATAATTTTGACATCTTTAAAATCCTATATTGTTACCACTGAGAAGTAAGGTTATAGGGAAGTGGGATTTTTGAACAAGCAGGGGAAGTAGAGACAAAAAAGCCAAAATGTGTGAGCACTGACAGCCAATATATCATGTACATAGTATGACCCAGTACATTTCAAAATAATCCTCATTTAATGTTTATAGAAGTGGGGTAGGAAGTGTGGCTCAGTGGTATAGACCTTACTTAGCATGCACAAGATCCTAGGTTCAATTCTCAATACTCAAAAGATATTCTCAGTAATTCTATACTATGGGGAGCAGGGGTTATAGGTCTCTATTTACAGAGGGCAAATGGTAGCTGAATTAGAATGAGTCCTCATTGAATGTATTTCGGTATCAAGATGTATCACCTGAGTTGACCTACATACCAGATTGTTAGTCCAGGATCTTAATTTACAACAGAAGGTAAATGGGACAGAATGGACTGGTGGACTTGTGTGAACAGAGGAAAAAAGGAAGCTGAGAGGCAAAATAGAAGTGGTACAGGAAAGTAAGGATGACAGAGAGGGCAGGCATAGATACTAGAGGATCTGAAAAGACAACCAAGGAAAGTGGGCTTTTGTGATCACCTTGCAGACAACTTTGGTGACTAACTAAAGAAGAAACATGATCATTTGTAGCAGGAAAAACAAAAACCCAGAGACAGATATTGGGGTTCAAGCTTTAGAATAGGGAAGCAAACCAGCCAAGCTACCAGAGAGCTCTTACCTCTAGCAGAGCTGAGGTGTTCCTATTCTCAACATGTCTGGAGAATAAATGCCCAATACTGAGACCTTGCTCCTGTTTTATATACTTGCCTAATGCTTGGATTAAAGGCATGTGATTCTAAGTGCTGAGATCTTCTTTGTGTGAGCTGCTTCTCTTTAGAACTGGACCAATCTTGTGTAGATCTGGGTGGCCATGGACTCACAGAGATCCATCTACCTCTTAATCCTGAGTCCTAGGATTAAAGGTGTGTACTACCTTCTAGCTTCTGGTTGCTAGGATTAAAGGTGTGTGACTGGCTTCTATGTCTTGTGGCTGACTTTGCTTTCTGAATCCTCAGGCAAGCTTCAATAAATCATAAGTAATATATCATCACAATCATTTTCATGGAATTCCCAGTTTTTCTATACAAAGAAATGGACAATTCAATCAAGGTTGGCTTTGAATTCTCTATAAGGAAGGCAATAGTAACAGCAGAATTTTAAACCCAGGAGATATAATTTAAGTAAACACGTCTCATGACTATAAAATCTGATTGGGACCTACAGACTTTGGACAGTCATTTAGTCAACAAACATTTCTTGAGTACCTAATGTATGCCTGTATTGTGGGATGTTGCTTTGAAGAAGATATATTGAGTCCTTCATCTCCAGATGCTCACATTCCCATGGTGCAGACAATGAGAAATAGAAAGAGAATAAAATAAGGCCATGAAACCAAGGATGGTTTGGAGTGTGGGTTGGAATACTCTAATAGATCTAGGTAGAGGAATGCTCTTTGAGAAAGCTAAATGGCCAGGAGCAACTCATTTGTTGGAAGGGGTAATCTTGAAAATATTCTAAAGGAGAATGGTCTCAGGAATATTAAAACAAGTCTGTGAGATTTGGACATGTTTGCACATTCAATAGGCAGAATAAGATCGGTAGAGTTGGAATATAACAAAGGAAAGTCTTAAATATGGAAGGGTCAGCCAGGGTCCACCTCCTTAAGG